AGATATGGCACTAGAACCACATTCATTAAAAACAAAATGGCCACCAGTCGGCCATTTTGAATCTATCTGAAAAACAAAGATGTGCATCAAGGTCCTATAATGTCCAACATGTATACCAAGTTTGAACAGAATCCATCTGTAAACAGCAGAGAAATGCTTAATTTTGATGATTTTTTAGCACAAAAATGGCCACCATTTGGCTATTTTTAATAGGATCGTCAAACCAATACATCTGTACATCTATGACATGATGTATAATGAATATTAAAAATTTGAACATAATCAGTCAAAGCTAGTCGGAGATATGGGCTAGAAGCCCATTCATTAAAACAAAATGGCCACCAGTCAGCCATTTTGAATCCGATCTGAAAAATAAAATTGTTTGCATCAAGGTCCCATAATGTCTAATGTATATATCAAGTTTGAACAAAATCCATATGTAAACAGCCAAGAAATGCTTGAATTTGATGATTTTTTAGCACAAAAATGGCCGCCATTCAGCCATCTTGAATCAGATCGTGAAACAAATTGATGTGCATATGTATAATATCATGTATGATGTATGTGTGAAGTTTGATTATGATTCCTCCACGAACGCATGGACGCACAAGGGTCAAAACATAAGTCCCCGTTTTCGGACGAACTAAAAATGTATCCATTGAAGTTGTATTGTCATCAAAACTTGATTGAAAGCCCAGCTCATTCAATTTTTAGTAATACAGCCAAAAGTCAAATCTGAAAGTAAGTGTTTAGGTGATTTAAAACCTGATGACTCACACCTTTTACTGACAAAATTATTATGAATCTTCATGACAAATAAATCCCATCATGCAATGCTCTTTGGAATCTGCTTCAATTAAGAGCATGCTAACACAAGTAACACAATGTTCGAGGTTCAATGTTTGCTGAGACCCAGTGGTAACATGAGTAATGAAGTTCTATAAATTCAAAAGGAAGGGGCGGAAATATATAACAACTTAAGATTCTGGTGTACATCACAGATTAATTGTTATGGGAAATGCTTCACCTAAAAGAGTGATTTTCTAATATAGTGCATCTTTTATAATCAAACAAAAAATATCCTTTTCAATTCAGTGTCGTTCTGAAAACATAACATTTTAAAAACTCAATCACAACTCAATCCATGGAAATGCTACAGTGATGTTTGGTTATTATCTAGGCAGATATTTCACAAATGCCATAGCTGTTCACTATCCCTCAACACGTCTGAGCTGTCACTGGGTTGTTCTTCTAAAATACTATCCCAATCGATGTCTTCGATGTCTTCATCATTAAAACCAACAAAATGCTAATTAAATTTCCAAGACATGATCTACGATTTAGGTTCTAGAGAGTGCATGTTCCGGTACTCGTAATCAAAATCAAAACAAAGAAGGTTCTGCATATGTGGAGTCTTGTTTAGCAAAGAGTTGTGGGTAAAACTACGTCATACAATAAATTTATATCAGACACAGCTTCGATATTTCCAGTAACTTGATGCGGGAGGATTAAAAAGATAAACATTGAAACGCGCATACGAAAAATTGAAGTCAAATCATTTCTTACTCGGGTGTTGAGGGATGATGAGTTGTTGCATTTATTACTGTACAGTACACATACAAGTATTACCTAAAATATCAAATGACAAATCTAAAGTATTGTTGACATTACATGGTAATTCCTGTTTATTTTGAAGAGTGATCACAGTAATTCAAGGATGACTTACCTCTCCCGGATATGGATCAGAATTATAATTCTCAGCCACCCACAATTTTCCAGTCGATGGCAAATTCTTATATTTTTCGCTGGTAAGTACAGTTCTAATGTCATCTACACTGTATGAGCACACAACAGAAATGCCACCCCTATGATAAAATTGGTACAATAATACTAGTTTTATTACAACATCTCCTGTATAGTCCTAGTAATGTATCACTCATCTCATTGTGCTGGCTGACATGAGTGATGATATAACCTCTATAATTAAAGAAAGCCTCGAAATAACAAGTGCTGAAGCTATTGGACGCATGAAGGAATGTATTTGCTATATTAGAAGCATCTTCATTACAAAAAAAAGCATTGTATTTATTAAATGCAATATCATTGAAATATATCTTATTTTGACCATATACTTGTTTTTATAGTTGGTAGAAGCACATGAAGTTTCCAACCCAAAGTATCAGGAACTGGCAACAAACTTCTCAAGATGTTAACTGTGGCAGGCAGCAGGGAGAAGTGATTCCTTCGTTTCACAGCATGTGAATTTATTCAGGGAGGTGACATTTTCAGATGGGTTACCGGTAGTCATACTCATTATAGTGTCAAATACAGTGCCATCTCTGGCCAAAATAATTAAATTTAATTAAACTGTAAAAATATACACTCCAACAATTAAAGTTAAGAAATGACCCTTTTACAGCAGGCATGTGCTTCTAATAGAGCAAATGATTATAGTGGTTCCAAGTACCTATGGTTTAACAATTATAAATATTTAATGAAATAATGACTATATATGATGATTTAATAGTTTGGTCATATACAACAAAATTAAAGAACTGGTTGCATGTCCCTATCTGCAAAAGTACTTAGTAGGTACATTACAAGTATGCATAGTAAGAAAAACACATGAAACTAATAACAAGTAATTAATATGCATGGTTTTCAATCCCGAAGTAATCAGAACTGTGGATTATCTAAAAGCACTTATATGTCAATAAAATTTGATCAGTGGTACTCAAGATATCTATCTATGAAACACCTATAAATTGGTTAATTTATGTAAGCACAAAATTTAACCTAAACTGAACATGTATATGGCTTATTCCTAAGCATCTACAAGTGTATGTATGTTTCATTGAATCTGATGAGTGGTTGAGATATTGGTGGAAAAATTAAATATTGGCTAATTTATATGCAAATTAGGTCATTAATATATACAGATTTTAACAAAAACTAATTAGGTTTGTGCATAATCCAAGAGCATCTATGTACCATGTTTCATTCAAATCTGTTGGATGGTACTTAAGAAATGTTTAAAATTGCTAGTAATATGCAAATTAGGTAATTAATATGCAAGGGATTTTAACCAAAGTTAATCAGTACTGAGTATTATTCCAGAACATCTATATAGCAAGTTTCATTGAAATCTATTTAATGGTACATGAGAAACAATTGAAAATGTTTAAAATCATTTGATTAATATGCTAATTAGGTAATTAATAGACACGGATTTCAACCAAAAACCAATCAAGACTGCGCATTATCTTAGAGCATTTATGTACCAAATTTCATTGAAATACATGAGAAACAAGTAAAAATGCTTAAATTTGGTTAATTAATATGCAAATTAGGTAAATATTATGGGAATTTCAACCAAAAACTAATCAGGTCTGAACATTATCCTAGAGTATGTAACAAGTTTCATTCAAATCTGTTTAATAGTACACAAGGAACAAATGAAAATGCTTAAAATCGTTTAACTAATATGCAAACTAGGCAATTAAGGTAGAGATGCAGTTTACCTGACAGGTATTTTAATTAGTTAATTAGGAAACCAAGATGACCTCCCTTGTCCACAAACTATATATTTTCGGAAAGCTTATTGTATTCATTTTGAAAACTGTCTACCAGTTGTCAATTTTGCAGGGCAGCTGCTCAAATTTCATTACTTCAAGTTTATGCATAAATTAACACCCAGGATAGTTGTCTGTACGATTGTTGTAACACTGTTCAACCAAAAACAATGCCCCAAAGGCGTTTTGAAGATAAACACATTGTCAATCATTTGTGAAAATTTCAAAACAAAAGGTCAAAGCGTCTAGGAGCTATTTTTTTTTTTTTAAGTTCTGGGATGTGCAGAAGAAGAAGCTGAGAAAATTGCTAATTTGCATAACAATTCACTCAGTAAGAAGTTTGCTAATGCTCATAATTAAAATGGCTGTAACAATTCCAAATTTAAATGTATTATCATTTTGTAAAAAGTTAAATACATAATATGGAGATCCCGTCATTTCTTTTTTTCACCATGTTTCTTTTTTATTATTTATGTACAGCCTTGCTTAATCTTGCTAAGCATTCAAACGAGAGAATAGCCAAGACTGTTTGGATAATAAAAAGCAAAGAAAAAAACTTTCACTCCAAAGTGCCCACGAACCTGCATCTCTACCTTAATATGCACAGGATTTCAACTAAAACAAATCAGGTCTGCGCATTATCCCAGAGCATCTATGTACTGAGTTTCATTGAAATATGTTCAATAGAACATGAGAAACAGGTGAAAATGATTAAATTTGGCACACAGACACAGAAGTCAAAAATAAATTAATTCTGAGTTGATTAAATAACACTAAAAGTCATGCATGATCAACAAATCTATACCCAAATTTACATAAATTGCAAAATAATCCAATCTTTCAATTGTTCCATAATGAGATTAATATCAATTTATGCGATTAGTTTCAGAGATAACATTTAACAAGAAAGATAAATATGCAAATTTAGCTAATTATTATGCATATAACTGTTCTAAAAATCTCTGATCATTCAGATTCAACTGAATTAATTTATTGAGTGACTGATGCTTGAGATATCATTGAAACAAGATATCTAAGATATACAGTAGAGTTCAAGCATAACTTAACATTTAGCTAGTTTTTAGTTGGCTTGATGCTACTTTAGCTGGCCTTCAAAACTGTCACATATCTAAACTTTGCAGAATAATTTGCATAAATAACTCTCATTTAGTAACAAAAGTACAAAAAATAAGTTGAATTGTCATCAGTTGTCATCTTGTCGGAGTCAACTATATTTTAGACTTGGAATATGCTAATTAGTTCCAACATAGAAAAAAAGTTTATATGTCCAGTGTATTGTATACTATTATGACATTTTACATTGCCTAGAATTGTTATCTGTTATTCTTAGATTGAAAAAGTACATCAGAACATTGCCCATCTACGAGTCAGTGTCATTGTGTGTTATATCCAGTAGCTATCACTGCTGCATATTTTGTAAGAATTGCTTGTGCCGTCTTTATCCTTAAAAACACTGGGTGCAACTTTAATATCTGATGCAACTTTCTAGTGAGAAACTATTGGTATTATAACACAAGCTCCTATTCTTTATTCTGCACAACAAGAACTATAAAATCAAATTATAATTAACAATGGTCTTACATATCTTCAACAAATATACCATAGAAAACTTCATTTCCATTTGATCCAACCTTAAATATACTCTCTGTAAATAAACACAATTAACAAAAGTCAAACATAATGAAAGAATACATTGTCTGATATGACCCTGTGTGTTCGAGAAGCTTCAATTTGCTCTTTAACACTGGGTTATGTGTATGGGTGCTATTATGACATCTTATCCGGGATCTCTTTCTTTCTGTCGATACATTTTATTTTCAGTAAATCTATCACCAGCAGACCTTTTCACTTCCTATAGTAAGAAATGATTGCCCTTGTGTGGCACAATGCCTTTTTGAACTTCACCATCGGAAGTAATAAATGTGAAAGCTAGTAAATCAATTGGGAAGTCTCCAAGATGATGTATACTCACTTAGTGTATTGTATGCATTGCCCTCGAATTCACAACTTAGACGGGCTTTCTGGTAGCTGGTGAATTTATCGTTCAACGTATTAGTGGGGCCACCATTGTCTTGCTGTTGAAGTGGAGAAATAACATGAAAGCTATCAGAGATTGCTAATGCTCATGCATTTTTGTTTTCACAAGCACTGAATCTTTATATCTCCAATAGTTCTCTGAATATCATATTTATGCATTTTAATGAGGCCATATGGCCTTATATAGTCATTAAAAATGTTGAGCAGATCCAATATGTACTAATATCTTCAGTAAAGCACTGGTTGAATTTCTCTATTAGCAATAGTGCTCCAGATATGATATTTATGCAATCTTACTGACATCACATGTGGATCAAATCTAGTATGCAATATCTTCAATATAACAATGTGACTTTGTATGGGTGTACAAACAGACATATGGATGGTTGCTGGTAATCACTATATCGCCCGCCCACACATGTTATCAGGGGATAACATGTCATCACAGATAGTTTTTATTTATGATTACAATATCTTGAAAAATATAGATTTCCAAAATCAGACTTGGGTGAATTTTATACTGACAAATAAATAGTTTAAATTAACTTGAATAAATAATGTTCAGTTATTGCACACAAACGTAGTGACAAATTCTACTATCAGGGTACACCTTGCTTCCTCTTCAAACATATCAGATATACTTAAATCAAACTGATTTTTAAAATGTCCAAAAGATTTTTTTTTAATTATTTGAACCGTAAAAAATAATATAAATAGCAGCAACAAATACATGGACAGAATTCTTTAAAACAACTATACCAGGTACATTTGTACATTTCTGTCATATAAATTACAAATGAGAACAAAATACATCCCTAGTCAAAGATCTTGGCATTCAGTAGATAATAACAATGATCTCTACTTACAGTACACACTTTACCAACACGTGGATACTTTTCAGGAAACTGATTTACATTTTCATATGCAAGCTCAAGAAAGAAAATATAAATTTCTGAAGTGTGTTCAATGTGATACGCGTCAAAATAATCTGGTGCTGTAAAAAAAACAAGTCATTGTCAATGACACGTCCCCGTTCCGTTCATATTTGAGTGACATATACATTCAAAGCAGATCATGACCGAAATGCACCTGCATATGTACAACACATTGTGCTAAATCTGAACAAAATCCATCCATGCATGACTGAGATCCGGTTCTGGAATTGTGAAAATACGTGATTTTGATGCATTTTCGGCCTTAAAATGGCCATCATTTCGCTATTGTTAAACAGATCATGAAACAAAGGCACATATCT